CCATGTAGACACACTAATAATTGAAAGGAACTTATCCTTTTAAATAACTTTTTTAGCCTACATGCGATATGCTATGTGGGGCTAATAATAGTACATGTGACAGTAAACACACAATCCTGCATGCAACATAGAGGTGTTAGCTTTATGCTGTGAAGATTATTTTTATTTTCAGGCAGAGACACAAATGCTGGTCAGACTTAAAAGGAAAATTATTGGAATTAAATACAGAGAAAGCTTTAAAACTAAAAATATTGAGGTTCACCTACCAGCAGGACAATGCCCTTGAACATACAGTCAGAATAGTCCATGTCCAGTTGTAAGTGACTAGTGTTCTGCATGTCTTGGATACATTCTTGCTCCAACACAGCTAATTCTAATACTTTAATAACCTCCTTAATGTCCCACCATTACCACGTGTTTGGAATAGCTCAGTCAAAGTCTAGACCCAAATCCAGATTAAACTCTGAGAAAAAACCTTTAAAATTTCTTGGATGTTTTCCATCTAGTTTCACCTAGATTCAGCATCTTTCTAGGAAAGGTGAGCAAAAAGATCCACTCTCTAGGTGTGCAGACCTTGTTATTTACCTGTGATATATCCACCAAAAGTTGATATTCTGAAGCAAAGGGTGGTTCTGAATGTAAAAGGGTTCAAGGGTTATAAACACCTTGGCCAGGCACTGTACTTTACATTTAGACAACAGTTTTCTCATTTGACAGCAAGGCTGCTGCTTTCTCCATAGAACTTGAAATGCATTGAAGGACAGAAAGAGATTGAAGCGGCCAAGCCAAATGCCACCCCTCCAAGTGTTTTTCTGGCATGTAGCCCTCCTCTTCCACAGTGACATGACCTAAAGGTGCATCACAGCGCTTTTACTTCTGCCCGACTCTCATGTAACTCCAATACACCTGAAGAGTAGTGGAGCAGACATTTTATGATGTTTTTTGTGCATCTCACATTGCCGCTCCTGAAAGGGAAAAGTAAGGCACAGTGTAACTGAGACTAAAGGCTAAAATGAAGCATATAGATTATTCTATTCAATAAAGACATAACCAAGTTCATTAGTGGTGTTGCTTTTGGAAGCTAGCACCTATACACAGACACCGGGATGTGTTAACATGCCGTGAGATTATATTTTTTTCTCCTTGGAGAAAAGGATAAAAAACTTGTGATCCCACCTTTTCAAAGAGCTTTGAGCACTTTGAGCAGTAACAGGAAAATCACCCTGCTTGAATGTGCTCTATTCAGGGCTGAGTCCTATCAGTCACTTACTGTCAGACTCTCCTATCTAATCTTCCCCTCTCCATATGAAAGCCTTTATGGCTGCCTTATATGCCTGACATTTAATTAATGTTTCAGTCATGTGTGCTGGAGATTGCTGACAGCAAGCCGATATCTCTGGATCTTTGCAATCAGCTGTCATGGAATGAGCCTCACTTTTATTTTGTCTGCAGTTCTGGCTTATAGTGCTGTTCTCATCCTCCTTTGCACATTTGCATACCAAGCAGGATTGTTAGCATGAGAATAAACTAATGGGATCCTCCTCATGACCTTCTTTCCAATTGATGATGAAAGAACAGAAGGTGGCCACATTCTCACAGAGATTCTCTCCACCTTGCAAAGATCAGGATGCTCGCTTGTCTGACCTGCTTGTTTTGACCTGGGATTCCTCCGCCTCTCCCAACCCTGCACATATTAATGAAGTGAAGATGAAAGGGAGCCATGCCAGAACCAACACTGCATGGCAAGCTTGAGCACATATAGGGAACAACTGATTCTGAAATGTCTTGGAAATAGCAGATTTGCTGGGCCAGCTGGCCGGAGTCGAAGTAGTCTGGTCTAGTCAGAGTACAGACTTGAGTGTTCCCACGCAGGTCTGAATCAGCCATTACTCATGGTAAGTATTCAGGGCTGATGGGTGTGTTTTCTGATTATTTGAGCAAGAAAACATTTCCCATGATTTTAATCAATAATGTTATGTGAGGCAAACGCATGAGTCATAATGTTCAGAGACTGAAAAAACACCCCCATCTACTAATCAGCTGAAGCACACACACAAAGATGTCTTTTTTATTTTTACAAAAGACTGATTTAATTGTGCTTCATCCCTATTATAAATACATTTGAAAATATTCACTTAATTTTTAGCAATAAAATAGCTTTTTGAGTTTTTAAATTAACGAGGGGGGGGGTGTATGCTTTTAGGATTATTAACAGGATAGTTGTTGTTTTTTTACAGATACAACTAACTTGGGCTTTATGTTTAACCTGTATAGCTGAGGCCTATGGAGTTGTTGCATTTTGTTTCAACCTCTTGAATCACTCTTAAAACTGTTTTTACTCTTAAAACTGAGCTATCTAATTAATAAAACAAAGCAAACAGCAAAATCTTCAGGGTTTGCTTCGTGTTTGAGCGACATTGAGAAATCTGTTGCAAATCTATTTTGTCAAGTGAAATTGTTATCAGTGCTGGGAATCAATCTAATTTGCGACCTAAGAAGAGGAAGAAAAAAAAAACACAGATTAGTAAAACTTGAACCTGGTGATTTTATGGTCAATTGGAAATTGCATGAGTTATTTCTCTTCTGTTGGTCTCTATTACATAGAAATTTATGATTGTAACCTTACTTAGGCGAGGTTTAGCTCTCTTCCTTCTTTAGGCATACTTAAGTAAATACTTAAAGTAAATATATAAGGAGCACAGTAATATCTACCACCTGTGTGCCAATTACATCAGGTGACTTTAAACCTTACTTAGTTTTCTTTTTATTAACTGTCCTTATGGAAGGTAAATCAAGGAAACTGTGAGATTATTGCTTCCTTTTACAAGAAAAACAAATCATATATTGCATATCCCTCCTGACCAGTGAGCTAGTGAATGAGACCTACCTAAAATTAGTTCATCACTAGATGACCTAAAGACACAAAACACACCCCTGCACAGATTGAAATATGACCCTGTTGATGATGTTGCTTGTTTTGCAAAATAATGGTATTTTGTCTGTTTGGGGAAGACAATTCAATTCAATTCAGTTTATTTATATAGCGCCAATTCACAACACAAGTCATCTCAAGGCACTTTACAGTTCAACCAGATCATACAGTCAAATGGATTCAAAGACAGAGTTCTTAGAATGGATCCACAATGTTAGAGATTTAATTCAGAACCATCTTACTCCAAGACAAAAGTACCAAAAACTGTAGCTCTACAGTTCTTGATTCATATTGCAAAATCTACTCATTGATTTGTGTTTTTCCATTTTTACCAAAATCTTTGATTTGTGGAATACGGGCTCCATATTTATTTATTGAAGATTTGTTCAACACAATCTTGTCTTTACCTGTTTTGTAATTCAAAGATAGAAAGTCACCCTATGAAAATGTACCCCTCGGTTCCACTATAGAGTGGAAGCTGTGTGGCTCTGTTTGCTCGGTATGTTTCATGGTTGGTTGCCAAACTTGAATCTTCTTCTGACCACATACATCAGAAGGGCTTTTTTCCCCCAAAACAACTGCAGCAAACTGGGTTTTTTCTTTATCTTGAAGTATTCTCTGTGAACCGAAGAGATGGTTATGCGAGAAACTAATAGATTGGCAGATTCTGAGATGGTCCAATCTCCCCATCTGGCACCAAGAGCCATGCCACATTGAAAGTCATTTAAATCCCCTTTGTTCCCCATCCTGGTGCCCAGTTCAACCCTCGACACCAAGTTACTGTCCTTTGATCGCCTTTGTATTTGTGATTTCTGTTACTGTGATTAAAAATTTGATTTTACATGTCAGGCTTATGCCCATGTGAACTCCAGCTGTAATACTGGCCTTTCCAATTTTACTCATTTTAATTTTGTTACTAGTCCTTGTAAATACAAAGGGCTTTTAATAAGAAGAAGTAGCCAGAAATATCAGTCAGTGGACTGAATTAATTAAGATCTTATAAGTACGGGGCTTTAGAGGAAATCCAGTTATCTGGCTTTGAGATAAAACTTTGGAATTTGTTTGATTATTCACTTCTAACTAAAGTAAAGTTGATGAAAGTTATTTTTTAGCTCATTTTAACAGTACAGTATGGAATGGTGTAGAAGGTATTCTATCTTTATAGGCTAATCTTGATGCACATACCTTGCGACACAAAAGTATGCTTTATTCTCGTTTTCATTAAATCTACAAACACATCCCAAATTAAATTTTTTTTCTTTCTTTTCATCCGTCCCCGATCTGTTTGACAGCAGATATCTCACCCCTAACAACCTCTCCAATCATGACGCTATTGCAGGGGAAATATGGCAGCTGCTTGCAAGCCTTTGATTTCATCTTGCCCCAGATCTGCATTGTAATGAGAACTCAGGTCAATCAATAATTCACAGCAGTTTCACTTATAAGAACGAAAGAGAGAAAGAGAGAGAGGGAAGGAAAAAAAACAGATCGACTCATGGGTAAAACAAGAACAGGACTTTGATGTGTGTCATCGGAGGCTCACATACAGTTGTGATGCTCTCCTTTTCCGTTTGTATTTGTCAACACTTAGAGAGGCAAAGAAGAGAAAAGTACAAGTGCACGTCTGATCAGTGTAATGGATTTGACTGACTTACATCTACCCGAGATGTGTACTGTATGTGTGCGCAAGCTCTGCAGTGATTGTCAAGAAAGCTGATTGTTGTTTGGAGAGCCACGCTGGGACTCTGGCTTCCTACCCTCAAACCGCTGCATATAGTGTTCCTCTTTTAGTAAATACATTTGTCTCACTGCAGTTTTACCCATCCAAGGACAAACTGGGGAGGAAGGAAACTGTGTGCATTCAACAAACACGTCTAGTGAACATCATTAGAAAGATAAAAATTAAGTCATTAATAATTTGTGTGAATGCAGTGGAGGAAACAAACTAAATGAAGCGTCTTTTATTAACTAAAGCAATACTACATGCTGGTTTGTCTCTGTATAAGGAACCTAATAATTATCGCTTCCAGGGCTTACAACTCTCGTTTCTGTGTTTACATGTCAATAGTTCCTCCAGACGACCCAGTCATCAGTGGAGGACCTGTGGTCAGCCTCAGAGCTGGGGATCCTCTTAACCTGACATGCCACGCTGACAACGCCAAACCCGCAGCCTCCATTATCTGGATTCGCAACGGAGAGGTCCTTAACGGGGCCATGTACTCCAAGGTAAGCACTGAGGTGTGTGTCATTACAGGTATGTACACTAGTGGTATGCATGTGTGTATGTATATATATATATATATATAGATTTGGATCAGGATACAGACTGAAATGAGCACCAGTAGTGAGACACAACCCAAGTAACTACTAGTCCATCAAATATTAATATCTTGTACAACAGAGAAATAAGATGCTTATGACCCTAGTTTTATCTTTAGATTCCTTTAAAAAAATTTAATGTAGATATATTTATTTATCCTTCCTTTGATTATAGAAAGCCTGTAAACAACTTATGCTAAGAAAACAGTCCAACATCATCATGACTTTACCTTTAAATCTAACTATTGCTATGACAATTTTGGAGGATTTGCACATGGTGCAGGGCTCCATATCCTAAAGTTTGGAGCGCAATGACAACCAACATGCAAGTTGGTCTCCTGTGACCATATTATAGTTTCCTCGACTTTTTCTCCATGCATTTTGCACAGTTGCTGTGGAGTCTTATGGAGTGTGCCTACAGAAGGTTCACCATGGTTAAGCTCATAACCACCGTTTTTTAAGGACTCATAACCTGGTAATTTACATATAAAATCACTCTGAACTATCTTACAAATTCATGCTTAATAATTCTTTAGGAGAAAGAAATTTTAAATCAAGCTTATTATGACTTCTTTACATAGGTTGCTTTAGTTCTCTCATGGGTACCCTTCTCAGTTTGCCCCGTGTGTGTGTAAGTTTTTATGTGGATGTAGAGTTAGCAGCATTAGCAGTTTTCCTTGGTGCATTTACCACAGTTTCCGGGTCTTACATGATACGTTAAAGATTTGCAAGCAGTAACATGGCACACTGCCAGTAGGTTGGAATTGCCCCTATCGGTGGAATAGAGACAGACATGTGGAAAGCAAGTCAGCCTAATGTTAGCACCCTTCCAGGAGTTACATAAATCAAGGAGAACCAAAATGGCATTTGGCTGAGAGGTTGACCTTGTGGGCATGTCTGGTTTGAACAATGAGACCCCAAGAAAAAAAAAAACAAAAAAAGAAAAACAATCGACTTCCACACTTTGGATTCGCCGGAAGGTATATGAGGCTCAATACACATATTTTAACATCAAATAAGTCTGAGTGATGACACCTTTAAGGAAAATTTTAATCTGCTGAGTTTCACTGTTTGCTCTTTTGACTCCTGTGATATAAATCTTTGTAAAAACTGTTTTTCATGGTTAGTTTATATTGAAATGGTTTTAGATTGGGGATATTTTCCATATTAAGGTTAAAGTATTTAGGACTATAAGAATATATTAGCATCCAATGGTATTAGTAGGTTTTTCAACAATATGTTTAAAAAGGTGTTGAAGGAACTTTTAGATTTCACCTATTTTAAGATGGTATTATTTTACACTGATGTGGTCGGGACTGATTTTTTAACAGCATAAAAATCTCACTTAAGTTATTTGCTTTCATTGAAAATGACTTACAGTACCTATCCATTGTATTATCCTGTTTAATACATGTTCCTTTCTGTTACTACAGCAGTGTTAATTTTACTTTTCTTTTTTATAAATGTTTAGTGCAGTGCCTCAGTGATTAGCAGGTGTTTATCACATCAGTTTTCTTTTACGAAGTCAAATTTCTCAAAAACACAAGCTTTTTCTCCCCCATCTGGTTTAGAAATCAACTAAGACAAACAGATGGTGAGCTCTTTTTATTTTTTTTTATATTGGTCTGACAGAAGCTTTCTCCATTCCTACCTGTTTTACAGCGTAAGGTTTTTGGTTGTTTTCATGACACTGATTCTCAACCACAGCCAGTCTTTAGACTTTGAATGTCGCTGTAATCCCAGCCTCTTTCATGCTCTAGTAACATGAACTTAAAAACCTGTCCTTAAGGGTTACTCATCAGTTTAAATCGGCTATAGCCTATTAATGTTTAAACAAAGCACATAAAGAGACGAGGTACTTTAGGTGACTGCCCCTGCCTTCCTCCTCTCCCCATGCTGTCTCATTCCATTATTGGCTTTTTTCAAAGAGCAGATAAATGCCATTGATTGGGCCAGGGTACGGCACCGGGCCTCTTTGAATAAAGTGATTGCCAGAGGTGCTGTTTGCTAATGGTAGGCAGAGGAGCATGCTTCCTACCTTTACTTCCTCCCCAGGAGTGAAAGCAGATATGAACTCATCAGCAGCGGTAGGTGACGGATGCTGGCACGCCTGCGTTGAGTCCAAGTATGAGCTTCCCCCCCTCTTATCTCTATTGCCTAACATTAAAAAGCAATGGGTTCAATTAAACCTAGATGACTTTTCTTGGGTCCGGAGAGCAGCACAGGGACATTTTGAAAACATAATCATCTGCTCTGATGGTCTTCTCATATCCAACAGATATGATAGGTCTAATGTGAGCAGATGTGGTGGAGGGTTCACAAAGATGGCTTTACTCATGGTTTCATTTGTAATGACAGTTCTGACCCATCTAAAACCTCATCTTTTTGACCTCATGGAAAACGATTTACTGGACCAGTGGTTAAATGAAAACTCTTGTATGAAAAATAACATTTTGCAACTGCGTGTTACTTTCTAACATAGCAGAGGGTTGCTCTAACGACGCACTGCTCATCATTAGTGAGGGTAGCTTAAGAATTTATAACTGTAATATATAATGAAGAAGCTCACCAATGGAGAGAAAGAAGTGAAAAAATTAACATGTTGAAAATCCCCAATGAAATAAAAGAGAGTTAATTAAATTAAGATAAATAGCTCAGAACTTTGCTTAAGATGTCTTCACATTCACATCTGTTTCAGAATAGTGCGATAAAAATAAATTGATATAACAATTTAAGATGCACAGGTTAGAATCCAGACTTAGCTATGTTAAAGCTTTTTTCCTGCTGATGTTAATGCTTTCCATCATCATCATACCAAAGAGTATTGTTGCCATAGGGATTTTCTGGTCCTCATTTATGGTGTATTTACTTATTCAAAGTGGATCAGAGTAAGAGTCTTTTCTCTCCAAGTAGGGGAATGATTCAAAAATGATTCTAATTAATATATTGAATTGTCTATTTATATAAATCAATATTTTCCCGAAAATCTTTGCAGGAGGATTTTACATTCATCACAGTTTAATCCTGTTAAATAAGAGACTTCAACTGTGATATATATATATATATATATATATATATATATATATATAGAGATAGATAGATAGATAGATAGATAGATAGATAGATAGATAGATAGATAGATAGATAGATAGATACTTTGTACATACCACATGAATCTTTTCCTCATTTTGGTACCTTCTTTTCACTTTCGAGCCGATGTGACAAGGGCATTTCTCCACTGTGAAATCAATAAAGTGTATCGTACCTCATCCTATCTTACAGTTTCCTTAAATTTCTATCATAATGCAAGGGGTATGTGTACTGACAACTAATTAAAACAGCCAAAATATACATAATGGCAATGAAATATCTATTATAAATGTATATTTTATGGTGATTCATTTTGGTGATTTGGTATGTATTTGTAAAATGAAATGTTTGTTAGGTTATAACAATCTCAGTATCAATGGCATTCATGGTGAATTTAATAACAAAAAGCTTCTTACCATGTCAGTCCAGTTACTTATGCAGCACATATGCATTCAAGCAATTTCCTATTACCAATCCACCTTATTGGTCAAATTTTAAGATTAAAGTATCCAATCTTGAAGATTTGTTTCTGTATATTTGACTTGATACTTTTATCTTTATTGTCTGGACCAGTTGCAAAGAAGAACATAACGGGTGTGCCTCATATTTAGCTATATACTTTCTCAGCCCCAACTTGTAGCCATTACAGTTGCTTAGGTTTTAAAATTTAACATAATACCTGATTGGGTTTCTCAGGTCTTTTACATGACATAAGTTTCGTTAATTAAGGATTTTCATTCTTATAGTGAATAGATATACTTCATTCATCCTTTTCCAAGCCAACATTGATGACTATTGTTGTGTATTACACTTTTTAATGTTATGTTTGACCATTTCCAATGTTTCTTTTCTTTTCTTTTATAAAGACAAAGGCAAGGCAAATTTATTTGTAAAGCACAATTCAGTACACGGACAATACATACATATTCTGCATTCATACATGAATCACATTATAAAATAGAAGATAAAGATTTTTAAAAAATTGTAAAAAAAAAAAAAAAAAAGAAAAAAAAGAAAAATTAATATAAAACAATTGGATTACAAACTTATGCTAATAAATAGTTTTGCGCCGATGCCATTTTTTGGCCCCGATACTGATACCCAATACCTGGCTGTGCAGTGTCGGCCGATACCGATACCATAATAATGTAAAATTACTGCCATCATGGCTTTGTCAAGCTGCTGCCTACCTTTGTGAAGCAGGAAAAAATCTAAAACAAAGTGAAACCAGTTTTTATTGCCTA